GTAGTAGTAGTAATAGTAGAAGCAGCAGCAGCAGCAGCAGCAGCAGCAGCAGCAGCAGCAGCAGCAGCAGCAGCAGCAGCAGCAGCAGCAGCAGCAGCAGCAGCAGCAGCAGCAGCAGCAGCAGCAGCAGCAACAAGCAACAGTAGCAGAATGTCAAAAGGGGTATTCATATCGCCTTCATTATTGCTACTAACATTGTCAAAATACATCGTTATTGATGGCAGCAAACAGTGTTCTATCTTTCTGTTATTTCTTGTGACATTATGATGATGTTCAATTCCCAAAATGTTTCAACGGCATGGTGATCATGTTGAAGATCATTTGAGACAACAACAATTTTGTGAGTCTTGTTTTAGCATCCCATTTGGCACACTTTGGATGAATAGTTCATTTTCCGCAGCTCGAACAGGAAGACCTCTACTTCCCTAACAGCTCTTTATGACTCCAAGAACACGCAACATTGCCATTGAGCATGAAACAAGTAAATGGAATGTTTACTAGCTGCTGTTCAGAGTGCAGAACTGCACTCAGCAAGGATGAGGAACGTCAATATGTCCTTTTGCTGCTTTGTTGGGAAAGATTTTTCTGACGTGCATCTTCCAAAGTTTGCTTTCGAGCTGCTTTGACTTTTGGAAGGACTTTTACAACTCTGTGAACAACTTGTTTGCAGAATATGAGTGTCTGTATGACACTTCCTCGAATATGTGGACCCTTTTTTCTTCTTCTCTGCGTCTTCATCTTTTTCCTTTTTTGAATGGTACCTTTCTCTAGCCTTAGCATTGCCTGCCCTTTCCTTCTGACTTGACCAGGATGCTGTTACCTCTCATGTGTCGCTTTTCCATTTCTTTATTTAGTATCACTTGCCCAACAAACCTACCTGTTGCAACTTTGGTAATGGTAGTGGAAGCCAATGTGAGTTTTTTTCTTCTTGTTTTTCCTACATTTCTTAACTTGTTCGTCGGTCTTTGCCCTGTGATTTGCCACCTTCTTTTCCCAGCCGAACGTCTTCAGCTCTTTACGATTGCACATTGTTTTCTTTGATCGGTCGTTGTATTCCTTAGTTGGCTCATTGTTAAACTTTATTGTAATAACTCTGTGGGGTTTTTTTCAGAATATCGGTACTTGAAAGCAATGCATTCAGAGATCTCTAGCGCAGAGCACGCACCTATAGTACTGTAAAGTTGGAAAGAGAAGGTGGGAACGGGAGGGGTAGATGAACAAATTGTACTAATCAGTTTTGTCACTGAATTAAAAGAGATTCACCCGTGCTATACTTGGTCGAAAATAAGATTGTGCTGCATTACTGTTTTGTATTCTTTTATTAAAGTAATTAGCAACAGAAAAGGTAGTCACAAATTTTGTTTTGGAATGCATATGAATAAAGTGAATATAAACTTAAAACAAAGTCATTCATCACTTATGCGGTCTTGCTTGTATTATCATAGTCCACGACGATAAAATCAGCTACTATGTCCTAAAAATATTATTGGGACAACACTTGTTACCAAAACTGTGGTCAAAATGATTTAGTCTGTGTAACCATTAAGACCAATGTATAAACTTGCTTTCCTCTTGTTAAAGCCAATATTAACTTTTGATGAAAACTAATGGCAAAGCTACAACTGTGGACAAAGCGAAGCAGCACGGGCGGGGCAATCAAATAAAACCAAAGGGAAAGATGGACATTACAAGCCATAGCAGGAACGACACGAAGCGAGGAGATGCCAGGAGAAATTTCGGCCGATGTACAATCGCTTTCATCGCTTGAAATGTAGATGCGTGCACACGAGCACATTATTGACAGCATTGACACTAGTAGATCTGCATAATTTCAGTGGTGATAACAAGAAAGGAAAACTAGGAGAGTTGGTGAAAACTGTTTGTCAAAACAAAAATGAAAAATAAAAGCAAAGCACACAATGAATTTACTTTTATTCAAAGAAAAACATTATAGAATAGGCCTCTTTTCAATTAATTTGTTGACAAAGATCTACCTGTCTATCGGTTCTCTATAACACTCCCTTTTTAACACTCTAACCATCTGTCTCTCATTCTTTCTTTCTCAATCCTCGAGATAGGATGTCTGAAGTTAGTATTCCTTCTGGTGAGTTTAACCATGAACATTTCATGCTGATAGAAAATGGAATCACGACTCATTCAAACTGAATCTACCCATCTGCTTTTGTCGTCTGGCAAATTTCTCTTCAAGTGGAGAATTTCACCTAACTAATGACGCATTTAATTAATCGGGTTCGCCTACTCCTCTCTTTCTTTTTTTCTTTGTAGTTACCTCGTCGATCAGGAGAAACGGCGCCAATATTTTTCTGTTGATTTTCGACAGAAACTAAAATTGACATGGAAAATCCCATACAACGTCGCATTGCTTGCATCGCCCTCTTTGCCTTGTTCCTGGAGTTTACGTTTCGTTTTGCACCACCAAGCCTACAGTATGACATTACCCAAAATATACTTTGTATTTCCTTGACAGAGTCTATCTGCAAAGTTTAATTTTTGATGCTCGATATTATATTCGAAACACCGAGCCAAGCAGCCTTATCCTTGTATTTGTAATGTTTCAGACAACGATAACAAGTTGTCAACTCTAATTGCCTCAACTGCCAACCTCAAAGCTAAAAATATGTGGCATCAACGCGTGAAAACCTTAAAATAAAATTCTTAAAGTAGCTACTCATTCTATAAAGATAAAACACAAAAACAAAGATCTAGTCTAAATCATTACGATGATGAAATAAAACACTTTGTCCAATATCCGCTTCGAAACAACAAACACTATGAAAACCAACAATCCTTGTTTTGGCATGGGTCCAAACTCATCCGTTTCCTTGATGGACTCTTAGATTCCATCAATGAATCACATATCTTGCAGTCATAAAACAAAGAAAGCAAATTTTAAGGCAATTCAAGGCTTAATCATTACTTACATCTTAATCGTTACACCCCTAAATTTGCGTGATGAAGTCATTCATATTCACGTTCTATAGACACCGTTGTCTTGCCGGGGAATAGATGAAAGCCAAGTTGATTGGAAATCAGTGCACTTGACATAAAAATACCGAACTAAAACTTCGAGCAACTTCCGGGGGAAGTAAACACGCTGATCTTAATTGTTACAACGTGACAAAAATTCCCAGACGCAACTATTTTAGCGCCCAAAATTCGTAATCGCTGTAGCAATTTTGTTCTTGGTTGATGAAATGACTAAAGTGTTCGTATTTCTCATTCTACAGTGAAAAATTACACTTTTTAAAAGATCGATTGGACTGAAGATAGGGTTACTGTTTTTTAACATTTTACAGACGAGACGTGTAACGTTTAAGACCGAATTTTATGTCCTTTGTATGAAAAAATAGGCCGTTATAAGCAAATATTTGTTGGTTACCCTGAAAGTTCTACTTAAGATCAGTATTAAACCCTTAATTACGAAAATGAGATGCAGACAATTCTTAGAGAAATCTTAGGGTAAAAACTGTCTCTGGTGAATGTTACGTTTTCATACCTAAAAAATGCTGAATTTTTAACCAAAAAAAGCCCCACACTGTTTCAGCATGTCGTTTTATTGGACATTTTCTGCCTAGTCTAGGTTCGGCAACCTTTTCACCACCGGCTAAGCTCATCTTAACTATGATTTGAAATAAATACAGCTTTTTATGGTGTCTGTGGTAAAGGGTATGTGTATATATATATAATGTAATATAAAATATGTTTTCTGATATTGCACTTTTCTTCTTTCAGAACCAGAAAAGAAACTTTTCATCTAATAAACCATTTCAGAGCAGCATACAGTCAAACCTGCCCTGGCGGCCACCTCTATAAGACGGCCACTTTCAATTTCCCCCCTTGCATTTTTTCTATATAATTTAACTGTGTAAAACGGACACCTGTCCAACGCGGCCGCGGCCACCATATTTTAACACACAACCCCTATTACACTAAGCAATAGCACCTGTCTTTGACGGCCACCTTAGTCAAGTGACTCCATTACGTTTTGTGCGCTGGCCCCTGGCGTTGTGGGCGAGCCGTCATAATCCAATCACTTGTCGTTGCTGTTAGGTAGTCCCTCCAACCGATCATGTTGCGTAGGCCCCTCCCACTGTTGACCAATAGGTACCAATTTTCAGCTGCAGGTGAGGTAAGCATGTGATCCCTCATAACCCATAAGCCCCGCCCAGAATTCATACACAAATCGTACGTGAGATGAATGGTCACTGTTTACCCAGTCTGTAACAAAGTAACAATGGACGTCAACATGAACTTGCGACAGAAGCGTCACTCGTTCTCCGAGTGGTGGCGACCCATGTGTTTGTTTTAACATGGCACTCGGTCTTCCTCATCTCATACATTTCGTTTTATTGTCACTCTTGCCCAGAACCACGAACAAAATAAAAATAACAAACAAAATACAAGCCAATAACAACAAAAACAACAAAAAACAAAAGCGGCCACTTTCGATTGGGACTTCAGATGGGAATGGTTCGTTTTCTTCAGCTTGATCAGTCTTGCCTAAGACGGCCACCTGTCTTATAAGGTCAATTTTCTCCTCGACAATGGGTGGCCGTCTTACACAGGTTTGACTGTATAACTGCAAACCAAAAATTTTTTAATTGTACAGGAACAATGCTTTTTTTCTACACCGTGAGGTCATTTAAGAGGCTGGACCTCTGAATGTAACTTTCCTCATCAATAGCACCAAGCCAAGTTAGCATGAAGAATTTCTCTCCTAACTGGGGATTTGAAACCAGCATTTTCTGCTCTGTAGCCCAGCATACCAAAACAGCTAGCGGCACACTACTACTACCACTACCAAGCTGCACATGATTTAGCACTACAGCACATAACACTTTAGTAGAAAAACAAAAACCCTTATAGGCTACGAGATCCTTTTATTAAAAAGAAAAAAAAATATCCTGAATCTAGTAAGCCATTTCCGCAAAACCCCAAAAAAGGTTTTTAATAACAAATTGGAAAAAAAATTAACTTACGGGGCGATCTGGTGAAAGGTCGGGGCGGCACTGAGCCAGGACCCTCTTCATCTTTCATTACTCTCCTCATGATGAAGAAGGCAGCGGTCAAGGTCACAATGGCCGGCAAGGCCACAACCATCATGGTCTGGAACATTCCGGATGTTGCAGTGAGGCAGCGCTGTTCTCAAGATAAGAGGTCGTACTTCGCAGGACTTCCAAGGCCACAGAATAGAGAGATCCTCACACTCACAGCTTGATCGATGTCAAGTTGAAACTCATTTCCTTCCAGACACTGTGTGCCAAATTTAAAAATTGTGTTACATAAATATGTATAAATAGTGTGGTAAATAAAGGTAGAGAAAAAGAGGATGTTCTAACTCTGTGAAGCAAAAAAGAAGTAACAGTAATTTCCTTTATTTATCATTTCACCTACTAAGTACGTGGAATTCTTTGAATGTTATTTTTGTGCCTTCTATTTGCCAGTCACAACATGCCTAGTACCTCTCATAACATAGACTCCACATATGGCAAACAGAAGAGAGGAAGACTGAGAGAAACAAGAAAAGAAAACCAAAGTAGGAAATGATGGCAGAGCTAGAGTGGATTTAGAACAACCTGTAAAGACTCCTAAATATCATGAGGCAGACTCAAGTGACAACCTTACCCACCCAATGCTGCGTATCGGTTTACAAGGAAGCAATTCTGTCTAAACCTGAGAGCGTAGAAGCTGACGAATAAGCATTATCATTTTTACACACTATCATCAGCAGCTCTCCTGCAAGCAAAACGCCAGTTTTGGATCAACGAAGTCAGTTGATGTAGTGTGGTACTGCTGCCAATCCGCATATAAATACAAGCATTGGTTTCCCCAAGTCACACATTCATACATGAATGCAAAGCACACAAGAGAACCAAACACTTATGGCCTCCTCCTGACTAGTTCAATGAGAATGCTGATCGCATCCAAGGGGAAAAATAGGTAAGGATTTCACTCTTGCCTCAACTTAAAAAGAAAGGATTGAATACAAAACTGCCGTTCTCTGTTTTAAATGTATAAATGATGGTGCACCTTTTTATCTTAAAACATTCCTGGAATTATATAATCCACCTAGAGCCCTTAGATCAGCCTCTGACAATCTAATTCTTAAAACTCCAAAACAAAATTACAAAACATACGGCGAGCGTTCCTTTTTGTTCTTTGGTCCCCAGGTATGGAACGAACTCCCATATAAAATAAGATCTGCCCCAACAATTTCCATTTTCAAAAATCAGCTGAAGCATTTTTTATTCACAAAAGCATACCTGTCATAATGATGTACTGTGATATATATGCACGTGTATGCCAGACTGTGAGAGTGAAGAAATAGCGAGTGAGAATGAGAGAGAGAAAGAGAGAGAAAAGAGAGAGAAAAGAGAGAGAAAAGGGAGAGCGATAGCGAGAGAGGGAGAGAGAAAGAGAGAGAGAGATCGAGGGAGAGGGAGAGAGAGAGACAGAGACAGAGAGAGAGACAGAGACAGAGAGAGAGACAGAGACAGAGAGAGAGACAGAGAGAGAGAGAAAGAGAGAGAGCGAGAAAGAGAGAGATAGAACGGAAATGTTTTTCTATCTGTATAGAATTAATGTTTTAATGAATGTTTCTAGTTACTCACGTTTCAACTTTATTTTGACTGTTCGTGAATTTTTATTGCATTGTATATTTTTAGTGAACACATTTTCAACCTCACTGCGAGACTGTTTTTCTGGTATAAAATTTTACACATATGCACTTATATTACATGTATAATACTTTGTTTTACGTACACATTTGTGTCGATTAATTTTTAAGATGTGATGTCTTTTTCATTGTAATGCGCATTGAGCATCTTTTAGGAAATGGAAGTAAACTAATTTGATCGTCTTCAAAGATGCTATGGCTATTTCACTTTTCGAATCGAGCCGAACTACGCGGGTCGCAATTTTGTTTTGCCCAGAAGTTCTCGCAAGATCTACTCCTCCCCTCTCTCTCTCTCTCTCTCTTTCTGAACACTGTCTATCAGTGTGGATGATCAAATTGACCAAAACAAAGTTAGAGGTATTTTTTCACTTTCCCTCCCGTCTCACACTTCTAGCAGTTGTCCATTTTCTACTAAGTATTGATGCGCTGAACACGAATATCAACTTCATTTCCGTCGCAAATTAATAGTTTTTGAAATATTTGACTGTTCGTAATTGAGATAGACGTGCTTTGGACAAATCGGGGGGTTCCAGGGGGGCTAGCCCCCGTGAGGTAAAAGAAAATCTGGGGGGTTACAGGGGGGCATGCCCCCCTGTTTTAACCCATAATTTGATATTTTACAGTTAGATCTGAAATTTTCTTGAAAATAATTGATTTGCGACAGTTTTAGTGGCTTTATTTGTGATCTGCAGCAAACAGTACTGCAGTTTGACCCCTATAGCAGTGCATCTGTGTGTGGGAGTGAAAGTATTAATTTTGTCGTCTACAAAGATGCTACGGCTATTTAACTTTCCGAATCGAGCCGAACTACATGGGTCGCCATTTTGTTTTGCCCGCAAGTTCTCGCGCTACTCCTCTCTCTCCACTGCCCAGACAAAATTGTACGCTTTTAGTACTACAGTAGTAATAGATCTAGAACGTTTGTTCACGGCACCAGGGTTGGGTTGATTTAAATCAGCTGATTTTTTAAATTTAAATCAACTTGATTTTTAAAATAAAAATCAGTGATTGAAATCACTTTTTTTTAAATGTATTTTTATTCAGTTTTTATACATTTCAACATTCAGAATTCCTTTCCTTGATTTCATAAAACAGATATAAGGTTTATTAGACTAATATAATCATGCTTAAAAGTCTGCTTTCCCCCCTTTCACTGTAAAATAATACAGTATTCAATTTACTTTTTTTTCCATAATTGAAATCAGAGCTGGGTTGATTTAAATCAGTTGATTTTTTAAATTTTAATCAACTTGATTTTTTAAATAAAAATCAGTGATTTAAATCACTTTTTTTTTTAATGTATTCAGTTTTTACATATTTAAACATTCAGTCTAAATTCTTTCCTTGGTTTTATTAAACAGATATAAGGTTTAGTAGACTAATATAATCATGCTTAAAAATCTGCTTTCCCCCCTGTCACTGTAAAATAATAGTTCTCAATTTACTTTTTTTTTCATAATTGAAAACCAGGGTTGGGTTGATTTAAATCAGTTGATTTTTTAAATTTTAAATCAACTTGATTTTAAAAATAAAAATCAGTGATTTAAATCACTTTTAAAAAATGTATTCTGTTTTTTTTTACATTTAAACATTCAGAATTCCTTTCCTTGGTTTTATAAAACAGTGTCACTGTAAAATAATACAGTACTCAATGTACTTTTTTTTCATAATTTATAATTGAAAACCAGGGTTGGATCAATTTAAATCAGTTGATTTTTTTTCATTTAAATCAACTTGATTTTAAAAATAAAACTCAGTGATCTAAATCACTTTTTAGATCACTTTTTATGTATTCTGTTTTTAGATCTTTAAACATTCAGAATTCCTTTCCTTGGTTTTATAAAACATATAAGATTTAGTAGACTAATATAATCATGCTTAAAAGTCTGCTTTCCCCCTGTCACTGTAAGTAGTAAAATAATACTGTATTCAATTTACTTTTTTATCATAATTGAAATTAGCATTTTCTTTTTCTTTTTAGACAAACACAAGCGCG